AACGGCGGCGACGACAACGACGGGAACAAGCCCCAGCGCCACGACGCGGCGCGGCCTGTCGGCGCTGGCGGGGCAACCGCCCTGGGCGGTGGCCGAAAGCCCTGGCCGGCAAGTGCATGCCCCGCTGCGACGGGGGACCACTGGTGCTGCAGAAGCCCCGCTCCCCCAAGCGTCCGCCGCGCCGAAGCCCGACGAGGTTGCGGGGCGGGCGCGCGCCTGGCACGCGCGGGAGGGGCCACCGCGTCAGCGACGACCTCGGCCCGAGGAGCCCCAAAACGAGGGCGGCGGCGACGGCGGGAGGCGGCCCGCGCCGCCGCTGCCCCGGCCCCCCGTGTCGCCGCAGCCCCAGACCGCAGCGGAGGAAGGGGAGGGGGGAGCCTTGTTCCCGGGCAGGGCGTAGGCCCAGGGTTCTCCTCTAGCTGTTTCCCCCGAGCCTCGAGCTTGAGGTGGGCCGGCGAAGTCTTCATCTGCGAGAGGTAACGAGGTCGAGGAGGGCCAGCGACTTGAAACTTGAGGATGTCCCGAAGCGAAACGCTGCTTTTAGGGGGGGAACTCCGATCGATAAGAAAAGCATGTTCGTTGGTTGCGGATGTCTCGAACGAAACGCTTGTTTTAGCATAATTTGTTGAGCATGTCTCAAGCGAAACGTTTCTTTTGTGCTATAGATCGTTCCTCTCATAGGGGACCAGAATTCAGAGGATGTCTCAGGTCAAATGCTTGTTTTCACGTGACCAGGTCTTGAGGATGTCTCGAACGAGACGCCTGGTTTCACCCCTCCAGGTTGCCCCGGCAGATGTTTACCATCAAGATGTATTCAGGATGTCTCGAGAGATACACTTGTTTCACGCGTTCAGGTCGTCCAGGCAGATGTCTAGCATGAGTATGTGTTGAGGATGTCGAAAGAGAGATGCTTGTTTTCACTTGTCCACGTCGCCCAGGCGGACGTATAGCATGAGAATGTGTTGAGGATGTGTTGAACGAAACCTTTGCTTTCAGGTGTCCAGGTCGCCCAGGCGGATGTCTAGCATCAGGATACCTTGAGAAAGTCTCGAGGGAAAACACTTGCTTTCACGTACCCAAGTCGCCCAGGCGGGTGATTAACATGAGGATGCCTCGAGCGAGACGCTTGCTTTCACGTGTCCAGGTCACCCAGGCATATCTAGCATGAGGAGGCGTTGAGGAATGCGTTGAGCGAAACGCTTGTTTTCACGTGGCCAGGTCGCCCAAGCAGATGTCCAACATGAGAATGTTCGAAGGAAGTCTCGAGCGAACCGTTCGCTTTCGCGTGTCCAGGCCGTCCAGGCGGATGTGTCGCTCGAGGATGTGTTGAGGATGCGTTGAGCGAAACGCTTGGTTTCGCGTGTCCAGGTCGCTCAGGTAGATGTCTACCATGAGGTGTTGGGAACGTTTCGAGCGAGACGCTTGGTTTGGCGTGCCCAGGCGGATGTCTAACATAAGGATTGGTTGCGGATATCTCGAGCGAAACGAGTGTCGCAAGAGAGAGCGCGTCGTAATCCAACCCCGCCCGTCCGTGGGGCGTCCCCTAGCGCCCTGGCGTGCCCCCGGGCGCGTCCCTTGCGACGTTCAAGCGTGACGTGCCCTGGCGCGTCCCCTAGCACGCCCCTCGGCGTGGCACGGTCACTGGTTCGTCCTCTGTCGCGATTCCTTGCTCCTCCCCAAGCGTTTCCCCTGCCCGTTTCGCGGCGGTCCCCCTTGCAACGTCCCTTGGCATGACGTCCTCTGGCCGCCCCATGGCACGCGCTTGGCACGTCCCGTGGCAGGTCCCTGACACGTCCCCTGGCGCATCCCCTATTGCGCCCCCTTACACATCCTGTAGCGCGTCCGTGAGCCTGTGGCCCGTGCCGTGTCGTTCCTTTTCGGAGCCGAATCGGACTTTCAGGCCGAGTTGATTGAATGTCCTCCACTTGTTCACTCCAACTAGCTATGGGGCGGCTACGATGTGCTCAGGCAACTCGAGCTTAAGATCCAGATCGGTCCGGTCAGGACTCGAATGCCAAGGGGGACTCGATCCACAAGGCTACTGGCACGTCGCAGTTCAGCACGGCACAACACAGCACACCCCTCAGTACGGTACACCAAGATCGATACATTGAGCATGGCAAATGCCCGTCGCCCGATCAGGCGTCTTGAAAACGTTGCATTTCCATTTCCCTTTCCGGGTTTTCGTTAGTCGTTCATGTTGCCATCCAGCGGGGCGGCCAGTCACGCGCGCCGAGTCCCTCCTCAGCCCCACTGCTCTGGCGCCCCGAACCCCGCCCACGCCGGGTTCCACCCTGCGCTGGAATGGCCGCTGGGCGGGGTGCGCGCCATATCCCGCGTTGAGCCCAGCCCAAGCCTGGGTTACCCCAGGGGAAGCTTGCAGCGGGCCGCGCCGCTGACGGAGGAAAAACGGGCTGGCTGGACGGTGCATGGGGAGAAGGGGGCAGGGCAAGGGCAGAGGGGGCAGGGGGAGGGCGAGGTTGGCGCGGCTGGCCTTTCCCCCGGGCCCACGGGCCCAGGGGAGGGCGAGGGGGGGCGCGCCATCGTTCGGGACGAGGACCCTACTGGACGCAACGCGGCCGGAAGCGCGCGCCCACGAGGCCGCGTACTCGGTCAGGTTGGCCTTGATGCCCTGCACCGTCACGATCCCGCCCGATCGTTTACACCAGACAGTGCCCGTCGTGATCTTGTTCATGCCGTGGCGCGGCAAGATGTACCCGCGCAGAGTGAACAAATGCTCGTCGCCGACCTCTTCAGCCGCCCGGCCAGTCGCCGGCCTGCGCCAAACCTGCCACTACTTTTCCACCACGGTATGGACCGCGACCCCCGGCACCGCGTCGCCATCCATGCACGTCGGAGACCTTGGCCCCCACGGTCGCCGCATCGGAGACCGCACTGAAAAAACCCGACGATGAAGAGGGCCAGCGCCCCGGGGCAAGCCGTCCGCACCCTTTCTGCGAGGCCGTTGATCACAGTGGCGAGCTCCCACGCCGATGCGCCGTCCCCTAAGGGGGCCCCTCCCGCATGGCCGGGGGGAGCGGGAGCCTAACTGGGCCTCTCGCTGCCCAGCGCCAGCGCGGGCGGGGAGAGCTCCGTGACCGCCTCCTGGATCCTCTGGACGGCCTGGCGCCACGAGGCGCCCGCGTCCTGGATGACGTCCGCCACGGTGCGAAGACGGGACGTGAGCCATTCGAGGGCAGCGTCCTCGTCCGCCCCCCCTGGTGGCGGCTCCAGGAAGCGGATGCCTCGGTGCCGGCGCGCCCGGCTCCTCCCCGACCTGGACGGGCCGCGTGAGCTCGAGGATCTGGCGATCGTACGGGGTCATCTCCAGAAGGCCCGGCGCCGCCGACCACGCACCCGGAACTGCGCCCGCCGCCTGTGCCGACTCCACTGGCTCCGCGGGAGGCGTCGCTGGGGCCGCCGCGGGACGGGGGCCCAAGGGGGTCCGCAGTGGCGCCCCAGACTGATTCCCCGCGGCGCGGGCGCCTGGCAGCGGGAGAAAAGGCGGCGCCCGCTGCGCGGCGGTGCACAGCCGCCGCGCGCGCGCGCGCTGGCGCTTGCAGGCCACGGCCCGCCGTCACGCCGCGGGCCGCGGCCGCGGCCTGCGCCCCAGGCGCGCGCAGGAGCCCGGAGAAGGAGGTGCAGGCGCGCATCACGGCCGCCTGCAGCCCGGTGGCTTGCCCCCAGAGCCCAGAGCTGCGGGCCCCGACGGCGGCGCCAGGACGGTGCCGCCCACCTCGGCGTTGTCTGGTGGCGCGCCCGCTCCCGCCCTGACCCAGCATGCCCAGTGCCCCTGGAGCGGCCTCGCGGCGCCCTGGGTTCGGAGCACGTTCTGGCCTGCCTGCGGCAGCGGCGCCAAGCCAACACGCCCGGGCGGCGACTTGACCGTGATCCCCGCGCGGGGTGCGGGGGCCGCGGCAGCCGCTTCTGGTGCAAGGGGGCGCCAGTGAAAACCGCAGCACGGGCTGCGGCGTCGGCAAGCGGGGGCGGCGCTTGGGGCCCACGCCAGGCTGCGACTGCACGACAAACCCACCCTCGGCGTCGACGGTCCCGGCCAGGGCCCCCGCGGCGCCGGCGGTCCCGGGCGAGGCGGCGATGAAGGGCGCACTCGTCCAAGCGGCGGGGCCGGCGCCCTGGGAGGCCTGCGGGGCCTGTTCGACGCCCCGCGGCGCCCGCGGCGGCTCCTGACACAGGGCGGCTCCGGTCGTGCGAAGCCCAGCGGCGGCTCCCGTCGCGGCGGCGCACGTGGCAGCGGTCGTCCTTCCGCTCCGTCGAGCTCGCGCGCGGCGTCGTGTTGGCGCCCCGCTCCATCGGAACCCGAGGCGCTTGGCTGGGGAGCGGGGGGCGCAGGGGCGGCCAGGGGCTTGAGCTCGCGGCGTCAGTTGGACCGCGCGGGGCGGGGCGCGCGGGCGAAGCGGGCGGCTCGGCGGGGAGGGAAGGCCAGGACGGGGATGGAGGAGCAGAGCAGGGGTGGGGACGACAAAGGGCTGCCGGGGACGCGTTCCGGCAACCGCCACCGCGGCATCAGCCAGGCACTGCGCGGGTGGCAAAAAGGGCGTGCCTTTTACTCGGGGCACGCGTGCGTCAGCGCGAGCACGAAGGCGCCCAGCGGCAGGACCACGAAAGCGCACCCTGTCCTCCAGCGCCCTGGGCCCCATCAACTCGCTCAACGCCCACGTGAAGATGCCGTCGTGGAATGCGCCCTCCCCGAACGTGGCCCAGACGTCAGCGCGGGGCCCCGCCACCGCCACGCACTCCGCGAGAAGATGGTGGAGCGTGGCCTGGCCCCGGCTGCACAACGCGCACGGGTCCTCTTGGCCCCGCAGGGCCCACACTCCCCATACGACCACGGGAATGCGCAGAGCGAGCCTGGCGACCACCCAGGCGGTGGTGGCGCCGCATAACGCGACCCCACGGGGCCCAGGCCACTGCCACGGGCACGGGCTGCCGCAGCGGGAGCAGCGCGTGGAGCGGGACCGGGCCGTCGCCCGCCAATTTACCCACATGCTCCGCGAATCAACGGGCCTCCACTGCCTCCAAGAGGGGGTCGACCACCCGCCGCGTCCACTCGTCCGGCGGCTGTCGGGGGGGGGGTCGAGCGAGTCTGGGCTCGGCCACGTCATCACCCGACGCTGCGGCCCAGCTCCTCGACATGCAGCATCCACGTGCGCGCGCCCGGGGGATCGCGGCGGCCTCCAGCACCTCCCGAGGCTGGGGGCTGGCGGCGATGCAGAAGGAGATGCCTCGCCCGTGCCGAAAAACTCCTCCGGGCCAATTTGGTGCCTAGCCCGGTCGACAGCCGGGCTTCCAGGAAGACGCGGTGACAGAGGAGGGGACGCGAGGGGAGGGGAGGGGAGGGAGGGAGGGGAGGGGAGGGGGGAGGGGAGGGGGAGTGGGAGGGGAGGGGAAGGAAGGGGGGGAGGAGGGGGGGGGGGGGGGAGGAGCGGGGAGGGGGAGGGGAAGGGAAGGGAAGGGCAGGGCAGGGGTGGAGGGCGGGAGGGAGAGGAGAGGAGGGGGAGAGGAGGGGGGGAGGGAGGGGGGGAAGGAAGGGAGGGAAGGAGGGAGGGAGGGAGCCTCAGCCTCCTCCATCCCTTCTCCTTATAGATAGCTCCTCCCTGTCGCACCCCGAAGCCAGTCAAAACGGCGGGCCGTGCGTTTCACCTTAAGACTTCCTCTCCATTTGTGATGCTAACATTGAAAACAGCTTCACAGATAAAGGGCGGTCGTTTTCAAAATGTGGCTCTCGCCTTAGCGCCGCGCACGCTCGTGCGAACAAATGCAAAAGCGTCACGGATTGAGGGCGGCTCATTTTTGTTAATGTGGCTCTCGCCTCAGCGCCGCGCAGACTCGTTGCAAACAAGTGCACAAGTTTCACGGATTCAGGGCGGCTCGTTTTCAGCATGTATGTGGCTCTCGCCTTAGCGCCGCGCACATTCCTTGTAAAAAGCGCAAAGAGTCTCACGGATTGAGGGCGGGTCGCCGCGCACACTCGCTCAGAAATTACAAGAGCGTTACGGATTGAGGGCGGGGAGTTTTCAAAATGTGGATCTCGCCTGAGCGCCGCGCACACTCGTGCAACATAATTGCAAGAGGTTCATAGACTTAGGGCGGCTCTTTTTCAAAGTGTGGTTCTCGCCTGAGCGCCGCGCACATTCGTTGCAAAAAAAACAAAAGTTTTATGGATCGAGGGCGGGTCGTTTTCAAAATGTGGTTCTCGCCTTAGCGCCGCGCACATGCTTTTCAAAAATTGTAACGGCTTCACGGATTGAGGGCGGGTCGTTTTGAAAATGTGGCTCCCGCCCCAGCGTCGCGCACATTCGTTGTAACAGAAAAGAGCTTCACGGATTCAGGGCGGGTCGTTTTCAAACATATTTCTAACAATAACAATTTGCAAGAATTTCACGGATTGAAGGCGGGCCATTTTCAAAATGCGGCTCTCGCCTTAACGCCACGCACACTGGTTCTTTTACATTTGCAAGGTCCACGGATTCTCATGGTTAACGCACCAGAAATGGCGCGCTGGAACAATTCATGACTGTCAGGGCACAACAATTAACTTGATTTGCGGCGTTGAGGTCCCAGGAATGGTTTCTAGCACGGTTCAGGATCGCCACAACGTAACAGTCAGGTTCACTTGTAGCATTCAAATCCTGAAAATGATGTTTTTGCACGCTTCCAAATATTCACACGGTTTGTCCCCCAACGGGGCAACACCCTCTGTTGAAATGACCCCTTGCAGGGGCCTATGAAGGGGCATCTCGGAGGAAGGGTGTATTTCAACATCGTTGATGAATCTTGGGTATACACTGGTCCTCCTCCTCCTCCTCCTCCTCCTCCTCCTCCTCCTCCCTCCTCCTCCTCCTCCTCCTCCTCCTCCTCCTCCTCCTCCTCCTCCTCCTCCTCTCTCCCTCCTCCTCCTCCTCCTCCTCCTCCTCCTCCTCCTCCTCCTCCTCCTCCTCCTCCTCCTCTCCTCCTCCTCCTCCTCCTCCTCCTCCTCCTCCTCCTCCTCCTCCTCTCCTCCTCCTCCTCCTCCTCCTCCTCCTCCTCCTCCTCTCCCTCCTCCTCCTCCTCCTCATCATCATCATCATCCTCCTCCTCCTCCTCCTCTCCTCCTGCTCCTCCTCCGTCCGCCCCCTCTCTCCCCTTGAGTGTGCTGACTCAGGGGCTCTGGCAAGCGGGGTAAATCAGAAGGATGAGGATGAAGGGGGGAAGAGGCTACCACGAATGCGCCTCAGTCGACGGCCATGAAAACGATGCCTCAAAAGCTTCATCTTCAGAGCCTGAACCTGCGGATTCTGCATTCGACTGCGGAGCAGTCCCCTCCTCTCGCCAGCGCGCCCCAAGCGCAGCAACCCAGACTTCGCCCGCCCGACGAAGGCCAGGGGGAGGGAGAAAGAGGAGGGATGGGAGGGAGGGGAGGCAGGGAGTGGAGGAGGAGGAGGCGGAGGAGGAGGAGGAGGTCGAACCGAGCCGAGTTGAGACAGCGGCAACTCAAAATCGGCACCGGGAGCCCTCCCAAAGTGCAAGGGCGCCGAAGTGCCGAGCCGCCTCCGGCCTTGGCGACGAATGGCTCCGCCGAAGACCAGCTGCCGCTATCTCAACTGGGCCTCCGCTGAAGCGGGGAAGGGGGAGGACTGAAGGGGCCCTGGGACACACGAATAAATACACACGAATAACAGGACTTCCCCTATTTTTCCATATTTGTTGGATCTTCGTCTTCCCCCCACTTCCCATCTTTTTGCATATTTTCCTGGGAATCGACAGTGTGTTTTTGTTCCCTCCTGAAGGACGGGGAGCACGAGTAGCAGGAGGGGCGGAGAGGAGCAGCAGGAGGGGGCTGGAAGCAGGAGGAGAGGCCGCTCGACCATGGGGGGGCCAGCTCAGGGGTGGTGCGGCGACACATCGCCAGTGGATCTGCGATAGGCCCCCGAGTGCAAATCCGCACATTCTTAGGCGGGGTGTGCTATCGGGCCCCTATCGGCGATGAATGGGCGATTGCGGTTCGATGCTTCCCCCTGACCCTCTCCCCCCCAAGCGGTGCCCCCGATCCTTCGCTCACACATAAGCATTCCAACCCAGCTGTATCTGGTCACCCGTGCTCATTAACCGGACGCCACCCCACGGATACTGGCCAGGCCAATCCTGGGCCGAAGATCGGCCCAGCCAGGATCGGCGAGGTGAAATAGTGGCGTCCCCCGATGAAGCGGCATCTGAGCATGTTCTCAGGGTGGAGGGCTCAGGGTGAAATCCACATGGGCGCTTGCACCTCGAAAATCAATCCGTCTTGTGATTCACCTTGATTCACCTTTTGCAGATTCAAGCCTCGAAAATGCATCAAAACGGCACTTCAAATTTCACCCTTTGCCCTCCACCCAATGAAAATGCTCGGGGGATACAGAAGGCTCGCGTCGTGAGGACCTGTGCGTCGGTTTCTGACACCGCGCGGCTCGTTCCCGACTGCGCAGATCTCTCGACATCGGCCGATGCCGGGCCACTGGCAGCGTTCATCCTGAACGCCCGCAATGGGCGTCGCCGACGCGTCACCGCGGCGAGAACCTGCTATAGCTTAGCGGCGCGGCGAGGGGAAAGGTGGAGGGGACCAGCCTTCTAAGAAGGCGGCGCGGCTTCTCAGAAGGCCGCCTCCCCGCCTTTTTCCAAAGCCAGCCCCAACTTAGAAGCGGCGGGGGGGTCTGGGCTGGATGGGCCCAGAGAAGTCTGTCAAGACGGAGGAACGAAGTCGAATTCGCTCAAAATCTATTCCTGGACCCCTCCCAGGGCCCCCTTTCTCCACCCTTCCTGCTGGCCAGAACGCGTGCTGGACCACCTCAGCCCCCCACCCCAGCTGGCTCCAAGCCTTCGGTGCCAACTCGTGGGAGCCTCCCGTACCATCTTGCTGCCTTTTGCGAATGACGTGAACCGACACTCACCGACGCTGAATCGGCGCGTTCCCGTCGATTACCAGACTCTAGCGCACGCTAGTGCACTCTGAAGACAGACTTGCGATGACACACAAGGCTCGCACGACTTGCTACCGAACGAGCCCCCAGTGCCCTCCCCTCTCGACGCACCGCCGACGAGCAGAGCCCACCCCTCCGCCGCCGCCGGCCTCCTCCGGCGGCCACCGGCGCGCGCGGCCCCGATCGCCGCCAGGCCCCCCGCGACGCCGCTGGCCAGGCCAACCCCGGCGCTGGCGCTGGGCTGCGGCACCTCCAGCTTGGAGGCGGCTGGGGTTCGGGGCCCCAGCACCGTGCGGTGACAGGCCGCGTGGTGACCCCGGAATCCCCAACGGCCTCACCGCACGGTCCATCCCCGCACGGCAGCGGGGCCCTGGAGGTCCTCGTCGCCCGAGACATCCGCGGAGAGCGCCCCGAGTCCTCAAACCGCGTGGTGACCCCGAATGCCCTCTGGCTCACCACGCGGCGTCGTCACCGCACGTGTTGGGGGCCCCCAATGGGGGGTCTGCTCTAGATGGACGCTGGCAAGTTCAGCCCAGGGCAGAGAGAGGGTAGATTTGTTCTGCTTCACGCAAACAGACCATGTCAGCCACGCTTGATGAAAAGATCGTCTGGAGTGTTGTCGCTGGCACACGCGGAAGCTGCTAAGACAAGGATGCGTCTGTGCAGGCTGGATGTTGGCTGTGAGCCGAGAGGCGGCTCGGAAGATTAAAGACTCATCGATGTTGCGATGAAAAACGCCACATACAGTCCAAGAACTATCGGCATGGTTCGGGTGCAGCTGCCAGGCAGACTGGACTGAGGAGAGAATAGCGACAGCCCCGAGGGCCGAGGGCAGGGCAAGAGTAAACAGCAAAGCCGAGGAATCACAAACAGAAAAAAGTTGGCAGTCGCTCGCAAGCAGGCCACCTCACAAGAGATTCTGCCATATGGATGACTCCTTCGGAGGCTTCCAAGGCGTCACGGGCCCAGGAGTGCAGTGAGCTGCTCGACCCTATGAGAGCGAGCTGCTGGATCTCCGCCCAGTGCCCCTCCGGAGAAGGCGGCCCGGGGCAGGAAGCGAAACCCGTGGAGAATGGCACCTCTGACATTCTCGAAAGAGGAGCGAAGCAGAGGAAGAGCAGACAGGACGAGGATACAGCCGCCCCTTGCTCTGGAACGGACGGCTCCTCGCCCCGGCACCCTCCGGCCTGTGCCGGCCTCCCGCCCCAGGGAGCCCCCCCCTTGGGCCTGGGGTGGCCGGAGCACCCTGGGAAACCCGCAAAACCCTGCGAGTGGCGACTTTTTCGGGGGATTCTCGGGGGGGGGTCGGAAACATTTGTTTTTCGGGCCGGGCGAAAGGAGGGGATAGCAAAGAGGGGGTTTGAGAATCAGCTCACGTAGCTGATTTTTCCGGCGCCTCCCGGCGCCGGGAGGCGCCCATGTATCGAGGAATGGGCCCGGCGGCGGGGCCGAAACCAGCTGCATGCGGCAGATTTCGTACCCCCCCCCTTTCCCTATCCCCCGCTTTCGTTCGGCCCGAGTTTTCTCAGTGTGGGGTCCCGACACCGCCCGAAGAAACACCGATGGAAACCCGAGGCGGGGCTCCGGAGAGGCCAGGGGCGGCCAGCCGCACCCCGGGGGCGGCCCGCACCGCTCTCTCCGCGGCGAGCGGAGAGGGCTCTGAGGGCGGACCAGCAGGGTCCGCAGCGCCGAGGCAGCGAGCGGAAGGAGCAGGAGGGAGGGAGGAGCAGGGGGGAGCAGGAAGAGGAGGAGGAGGAGGACGCAGATCCGCCGCTGCGGACAAGAAACACGAAGCACCGCGGAAAAGCACGACTGGAGCCCTGGACCCCTGCAGCTTTCTTCCACGCCATGTGGGCTGGCTCTGGACCCCAGAAGTCCGGTGTGACTTAGCTGCCCCGATAGACAACACGCAGCCCGCAGCCGGTATACACGGAGCTCAGAACGTAGATTGGATACGCAGGTCTGGCGCAATGCGTTCGCCAAAAAGCGGGTCAACAAGCGCGTGAAACGTGTTTAGCACGGTACGTGTTGCGCGTCAGCAGAAATATCTGCAACGTCCAGATCTGAGGGTCGGAGGTGGCCAGGGGGTCTGAACTGTATGCAACCCCAGAGGCCAAGTCCGCTCAAAATCCATGTGCCCCTCCCGGGAGAGCACGGGAGAGAGCAGGGGAGAGAGCGGGGGAGGAGGGAGAGAGGAAGAGAGGGCAGGGGAGGCACAGGAGAGGGCAGGGGAGGAGGAGCGAAGGGAGAGGAGGGAAGGGGGAAGAGGGAGCTGGAGGAGGAGGAAAAAGAGAGGCGGACAAGCTGGGCGCGCTCGCGCAATATCTGACGTCCTACCCCAAACGACCAACCCTTCCCGTTGCGGTGACCTTTGTCTCTGTCCACCGACACGCTTTACAGCGGACCTGGAACTCCAAAACAGACACCGATCGTGCTAGACGCGAGTTGAAAAGGGGGAGCTGCGTACAATTCGAAAAGGAGGTGGCGGATGAACACGAGGCTAAAGGAAGGAGGAGGATGAGGAGGAGCAGCAGAAGGAGGAGGAAGAGGTGGAGGAGGAGGAGGAGGAAGAGGAGGAGGAGAACTGGAGCAGGAGGAGGAGGGAGGAGGACGAGGAGGAACAGCAGCAGCAGCAGAAGACGGAGTGGAAGGAGCGGGAGGACCACGAGAACCAGGGGAAGGCAGAGGGGGAAGGAGGAGGAGGAGGAGGAGGAGGGACGAGGAGGAAAGGGGACGAGGAGAAGGAGGAGGAGGAGGAGAAAGAGGAGGAGGGAGGAGGAGGGACGAGGAGGGGCGAGGAGGAGGAGGAGGAGAAGGAGGAGGAGGGACGAGGAGAAGGAGGAGGAGGAGGGATGAGGGAAAAGGCGCGGGGCGACGACGATGAGGAAGTGCTCGGGCGAAAGTGCCATTGTGAACGACGGGAGAGCGAAGCCGCGCTGCTAAAGTAGGCCCCACGCTGCAGCAGGAGCGCCATTCTGGAAGGATCGACAACGTTCGGAATGGAAAGACACATCACAACAACAACAACAACAACAACAACAACAACAACAACAACAACAACAACAACAACAACAACAACAACAACAACAACAACAACTACAACAACAGCAGCAACAGCAACAACAACAACAAAAGTAACAGCAACAACAGTAACAGCAACAGCAACAACAAACAGCAAGCAGCCATAACAGCAACAAGAACAACAGCAGCAACAACATCAATGCGTTAAACAACAACACAACAACAACAACAACGACAACAACAACAACAGCAGCAACAACAACAACAACAATGACAACAACAACAACAACAACAACAACAACAACAACAACAACAACAACAACCACAACCACAACCACAACCACAACAACAACAACAACAACCACAACCACAACCACAACCACAACAACAACAACAACAGCAACAACGACAACAGCAACAACAACAATTATTATTGATACTACTACGAATACTACTACTAATATTAGTAACAAGACTGTCAATACTACCACCACACCAGGAACAACAGCAACAACCACAACA